CTATAAATATGAAAAATTCTATATTTTTATAATTTTATTTATACAATAATACAGGTCAAATCGGAACAAATCGCGACCCATGACCCGCATGGGCTCGACCCAGATGGGTCAGCGGGCGTGCTTGGGTTGTAGTCCAAAATTTATAGGTTGACCCAGAACCTGTAGCGGGCGAGTTTTTTTTCACGCGGACCGTTACCGAACTCATATGTTGACAGGCCGACCCGACCCGAACTACCCGGATTGACACCTCTACTTTTCTCTAAGAAAAATGACTTAACGTTGTAACTTCTAGAGAATGAGTTACTTTTGATCACTCAAGGAGAATTGATGGTAAGTCAATATTTTAACAAAGTAAAATATGTTTGTCGGGAAATTTTGAAGTTAGATGCTACGAGTACAATTTCAAAAGCTAGAATGAGAAGAGTAATTATATATGGATTGAGACCCGAATTTAGAGCCTTTATTGCCGCTATAGAAGGTTGTCTAGAGCAATCATCATTGGTAAATTTTGAAAATTTGTTGGCTAACCAGGAAGATTTGACCAAACAAATAAATACGCCGAGTTATATCTTTCTTCATGAATAAACATTATTTAGCTATATAAGAAAAGGTCAATATCGTCAATAAAATAATAAAGAATTAAAAGATGTTAAATCTAGAGGATGGTTTGAAAGGAGTAATCAAACAAGAAATTCCAACAAAATTACGACAAGAGATGTCAAGGATATCGACAAACTAATCACTGGTGCTTTGTATGTAGAAAATGAGGTCATTTACTAGAGATTGTTGGTTTAAAAAGGAGTTAGCAGAAGGCAATATAGCAACACCATTAAGCAAGAGAAATACAATAATGAAGAACGATGTTATGACGGTATTTGAGCAAGCTTGAGAGAAGAAGTCCAATTGAAGCCTAAAAGATGTATTAGTATTGGTGGTGGTCCTTGAGCAAATAGATTGCAAAAATGATTGGATTGACGACTCAGGTAATTCATGAAGAGTCTTTTGGTGGACTTCACAAGGGGAGGAACTGAAGAGATATTTGAAAGATATTCTTGGCAGACACTGCAGATAATGAAGCTAACAGATTTAATAGAATTTGATGATAAGTTGAAGGAAAATATGCCAGGGAAAATTAATGAAGTAAGATAGAAGCTCGAGGAAGTAAAAGATGAGTTGGAGTCGATCAATGACCATGAGCATCGAAAGGTAACACAAAGTCCTAAAGAATCTAAAGATCAACAAGTGCCAGTGATAAAGTTGAAATTACAAGAGCGTCACAGAGTCTTTGACAAAATGATGTGTAACAGAAAACACTAGAGGAGGATCAACGGAATCTACAAGAAGAGATTAAGGTAAGTACAGTTTCACAATCACAAATAAGGAAGTCGGTTAAAATGAGAAATCAAATATCAAGTACTCTAACCTAGGAATAGATAAAAAAATAAAATATAAAAGAGTCAAATATATAGAAGTAGCAGATGTGTTGAATGAAGGACCAAATGCTTTAAAATTCGTCGAGTTTCTGGCAGAGCTGAACGTGATTAAAAAGAAAAGAGTCAAACTGAAAAGGCTGCGCTGAAGGGGAGAATTGAAAGTCATCACCAACCTAGGGATTGTCCAAGAATTTTCTAGATAAATAGGTGACGATTTCTTAAGCTGCTTAAATTCCAGAATTTTCCATAAGCTGCCGACTAGAGAAGAAACTAGAATGGTCAAATGATTCAAATTTTTCCACCACCATTATAGAATAGTGTAGAAAGCCACCCACCGACCTACTAGAAGAAGCAGCGACCAACTTTCCTGGGCTATATATACTGATTCAGTGTTTTATGCAATGATTGATGGTGTGTAGAGAGAAGCAGAGAAAGAGTGCACAGAAATAGAAAGAGCGACTTGAGAGAGAGAGATAAAATTAGTTGAGTGCTCCTCTGCTAAATAATATTATAAGAGGTTAGCGGTTTTGTGTGTGTCCAAAATTGTATAAATTCCATTTCATATTGAGTATTAAATTCAACAATATTATGGGATCAACGCTTAGAAATCTTTGAATTAGGTAGTTTATTGATCAGCATGCAATTTCCTAAAATTACCAACACTTGAATAATATATCTTTCATGTAGAAAGATCTTTGATTTCTCTTAATGTCTACATTTGAAATGCCCCCCAATTGTTTGAAAAGTTTGGTTGCTTTGTTATTTTATGCATGCAGAATGGAACAATTGAGGGGGTGAAGAAGATTGTGACCACATTGAATGAAGCTGAAGTGCCGTCAGAAGATGTTGTTGGTGGGTTTCTGCATGCCGCATGCGAATTGCATAGCTTTTGTCTCCCTTTCGTTGTAGTCTGCTAGTGTTAGTAATTCAGAAATTTTTTGTTTCTTGCCCATTAAATATTCTTCATCAAGACTTTATGACACTTAGGCTGCTGTATTTGCAGAGGTTGTAGTAAGTCCTCCGTTTGTGTTTCTTTCAATGGTTAAAAGCTTATTGCGCAATGATTTCTCTATTGCTGCACAAAACTGTTGGGCGCGTAAAGGGGGGGCTTTTACTGGTGAGGTCAGGTATGTTTTTACTTGATCCAAGAATCTACTTACCCGTGATTTTTGTTTGCAATTTTTGAATGTCTTATTTTCGTGTGTATGTTGATCTGTTTACTCACACAAACACACCTGTGGATAATTATGAGCTGTTTTGAGTGGTTTCTTTGCTGTTCAGGTTTAGTTGCTTAGTCATTTATTCTTCCCTATGTTAATGTAATGAAAAGATACAAACATCTCACATGCCATTCTTCCTTTATTTTGGCCCATGTAGCATACCAAATATGCGAAAATGTTTTACCTAGCTATCAACTTCTGGTTGTGATTGTCATTTTATAGATGGTGTCATTGATATTCTATATTCCAACTAGGTTTCTTTAAACCAACTATTAAGCTAGTGACCTAATCTGCCAAAAACTGGAGTTTTGGTATTTCTTTAGCTAATTAAAAAAAAAAACGTTTTTAGACAAGAACAACCAGTCACCTCTACAGTTTGTCTCTAAATGACACTTTTTTTCTAAATTAGATTATCTACAATAGGCTTCTTTCCATGCTAGTTATGCTTAATCTATTACCTACTATGAGGCAGAGATTTGCAATTCAGATGTAGGGATGGAAATTGATGGGGCGGGGCTGGGGGTGGCCATTACCCACCCAGCCCATTGGGGCTTTTAGAGAGTTTGGACGGTGGGATCAGGGCAGGGTAGGGCAATGTTGGGTAGGGAATTTTCCCATCTTTATCCAGATGGTGTAATTACATTTCTGCGTTTCATACCACTGCTTTATTATGCTACCATTATTTAAGTAATCTGTCAAAATGAAGAGTGCTAATGTTCCTTTACCCTTTCTTCGACATAATTGCCATAAAAAGGAGTAACTTATCATATGGATCTCTTCTCCTGTGCCGTTACTCATTTGTCTAAAATATTGGTTTTTGCTAATCATAAAATGTCATTTTTTTTTTAATTTACCCGTTTTGGTAATTTCCTTTATTATTTTCTTTAATCTATTTATCTTCTGGCACAGTGTGGAGATGCTGGTTAATTTGGGTATTCCTTGGGTTATTCTAGGTCACTCTGAGAGAAGACTTCTGTTAAATGAATCAAATGAGGTAGCATCTCAATAGCTTTTGCGCGTTCCTGATCTTTGTATTGATTGATCATCTAGTAAAATTGCTATTTTTATGGTTGATTATAGAATTATGTAGTCAACAACCAAAAGTTTAAAACTGTATTTATTTATTAGTTTTTTGTGCAAATGACTACAGTTTGTTGGGGATAAGACAGCTTATGCTCTTTCTCAAGGGTTGAAAGTGATAGCTTGTGTCGGCGAGACCCTCGAACAGAGAGAATCAGGATCCACATTGGCTGTAGTTGCCGCACAAGCCAAAGCAATTGCAGGTTTCAACTTATATACAGATTGGATAATGTGTTGGTTATGATATAATCATCCATATATAGATAGGAAAACGTGCATCCATAACTGTCTCCCATTAGTTCTTATCAAATTCCAACAAGAAACTATTTTTTTTTTCACCCTTTTCATTCGTGAACTCATTTGACATTATACCTGTTGTGATGCATGATATAATTTTCTTTAAAGTTTTCGACATTGTTACAGTTTGACCCTTCCTCTGCAGAGCGAGTGTCCATCTGGTCCAATATTGTTTTAGCTTACGAACCTGTTTGGGCCATTGGAACGGGGAAGGTTGCAACTCCATCGCAAGCTCAGGAAGTAAGTTTGGTCTTTCTTGAACGATGGTTCAAAGGTCTGGTTCATCGGTTTCATTTCACTGGCATGCATGTCCTAGTCTTGCATTTTTGCTTCAGTTCAATTAGTTGTATATTTCTTAGAAATAAAGTTGATCTCAGTTTGTTTTAGTCTTTTAGCTATAATCTCTTAGGTATCAATGAAATACCCATGAAGCTCTGCAACTTGGTGTCCATTATTTGTACTTTCCATCTCTCACTCACTCACTCTGTATGTGTGTGTGTGTATCCATTAGCATGTCCCAAAATGTTGCATCCCAGTTCATTTCTTCTTCTTTTCACCCTCATATGATACTAATTGTTCCTTCTCTCTCTCTCTCGTTAGGCAAAGAGGTTTTTTTTTCCACATCGTTTGTTAATAATAGTTTACTATATTTTTCTTCTCTTTTTCTAGATGCGGCGTATAATGTAGTATAGAATGTCAAGTTGGTCTGAATGGCCTTTCCATAGGGTTTCCTCTCATTATATAGAAAAGATTTATATAATGAATGACAGATTTTTAGCGCCTAAATGCTATACAAGTGAGTATTTCCAACTTATTTCCAGCCTAATTTTTAGCTATGTACAATCTAGATATCAAGGAAACCATTCCAAAAGTAGTACAAATCAAATCCCTAAATCATCTCCGTAACATCCCCTCAAATTGATGCTGGTAGATCAAGAAGCATCAATTTGTCAACTAAGAACTGATGCCGATGCTGAGAAAGAGCTTTAGTGAAGATGTTTGCAGTTTGATGTTCAGTGGAAATGTGAGGAAGAGTAATCACATGTCTGTCAAAGGATTCACGTATGGAATGACAATCAACTTCGATATGTTTTGTACGTTCATGGAAGACGGAATTTACGACGATCTGAATACCACTGGTATTATCAGCATGAAAAGGAGTGGAATGAAGCTAAGGAAAACCAAGTTCACCCAATAACCCACGAAGTCATGTGATCTCAGAGCAGGCGGAAGACATAACACGATATTCAGACTCAGTGGAGGACTTGGAAACTTTGTCTTGCTTCTTACTCTTCCAAGAAATGAGTTCATTGCCTAAAAACATGCGCCAGCCCGTAATAGAACGAGGAGTTTTCGCACATCCGGCCCAGTCAGCGTCACTCTACCCCACCAACTGTAAGGAAGATTCCTTAGGAAAGAACAACCCACATGTAGAGGTGCCCTTTAGATATCGGATAATGCGGCGGACAGTGGCTAGGTGAAGGTATCGAAGGGATTGCATAAATTGACTGACTTGTTAATGTCAGGACGAGTAATCGTCAAGTAGTTCAAACTCCCAACGAGTTGCCGATACGAGGATGGATCTGATAGAAGCTCGCCTTCCTCCTGACAAAGCTTAAGATTTACCTCAAAGGGAGTAAGAACATAATTACCCAATTGAAGGCCAGCTAATGAAATTACTTCCTCCGTGTATTTGTATTGATGTAACAATGTATCAGTCGGAGTAATCTGCACCTCAAGGCCAAGAAAGTACTGCAAGGTACCAAGATCTTTCATGTGAAAAGAGGCTTTGAGATGCTGTTGTAATTGCTTAATTAACTCAGTATCAGAGCCAGTAATCACAATGTCGTCAACATAGACTAGAAGCAATACAATTCATGCAGAAGTCTTGCGAAGAAACACAGAGGAATCAAACTGACTCTGAGTAAGGTGAAAAGCAAGCAGAGTAGAGTGAAATTTATCAAACCATGCACGCGAAGCCTGTTTCAGCCCATACAAGGATCGACGTAGCCGACAAACCTTTGAGGAAGGTGTTGTAAACATGCCAGAAGGTGGAGACATAGATTTCTTCCTTCAAATCCCCATGTAGAAAAGCATTCTTCACGTCCATCTGCCGGAGGGACCACCCCTGTGACGCAACGAGTGCCAGATAGTCCGTACTATAGTCATTTTGGCAATAGGTGCAAATGTCTCTTCATAATCAATACCATACTCCTGTCGATTCCCAAAGGCCACGAGACGGGCCTTATATTGGTCCAGTGAGCCATCAGACCGAAACTTGACTGAGTATACCCATTTACAACCAATAGGTTTTACACCGAATAGACATGTCACAAGATCCCAAGTTTGATTGTTTTGAAGAGCATGGATTTCTTCTTGCATAGCCTGCTGCCAACATGCTTGGGTGGCTGCTCAAGAATAAGAGCGAGGAACAGAAACAGTGTTGAGAGTGGTAGTAAGTGAGGTTAGAAAAATCATACCTATCTGGTGGATGTGTAACCCGGGACTGGAGCGCCTATGTATAGGAAGTGTAGAATCAGATGAAGGATCGGAGTGGAAGAGGCGTTGAAGGAGGACGTCTATGATACACCACACCTGGTTTAAATCGCTCAATAGAAGACGACATATCATCAAAAGCAGGTAGAAGAGTAATAGGAGGATCAGAAATAACCTGAGACTGAAAGAAATATTGATTTTCAAAGAAAATTACATTCCGGGAGATCCGGAATTTGTTCGCATGAGCATCATAACAAACAAATCCTTTCTGAGTAGGGCTATATCCCATAAAAGCACACGTGACAGACTGAGCAACAAGCTTGTGTCGATCAACAGGTGGCAGATGAACAAAACAAACACACCCGAAAGTATGAAAGATTGATAATCAGGAGATATGCCAAATAATCGAAAATAGGGAGAATATAATTTAGAGTGGCAGTAGGCAAACAATTGATCAAATAAACAGCAGTAGATAAAGCTTCTACCCAGAACTTAGAAGGTACATACGAATCAATCAGCAAAGTATGAACGAAATTTAAGAGATGACGATTCTTAGCGAGTCGCTGAGGTAAAACAACTCAGGTATAAGGACAAGAACGCTGGGAAATGATCCTTTTTTGCTGAAGATAAGTCTGAAAGGAATGAGACATGTATTCCCCCCCGAGTCGGAGCGTAAGGTTTTGATACAAATCTAAACCGTGTCTCGACAAGTGCAACATTTTTTTTGAAAAATAGAGAACACGTCAGCTTTAGAACGAAGAAAATAGATCCAAGTAAATCGACTATAATCATCGATAAACGTCGCACAATAACGATACTGACCATGAGAAATAATAGGACTGACACCCTAAACATCAGTATGCACAATCTCAAAGCAAGTAGTAGCACGATTACCATGCGCAGGAAAAGGTAACGTTTTACTTTTACCAAGACGACAAGTAGCACAATCAAAAGATACTGATAGGCCCCCAATTAAATATACGACGCTCAGCGACTCCATTTTGTTGAGGGGTATAAGGACAAGAACGCTGGGAAATGATCCCTTTTTGCTGAAGATAAGTCTGAAAGGAATGAGACATGTATTCCCCCCTGAGTCGGAGCGTAAGGTTTTGATACAAATACTAAACCGTGTCTCGACAAGTGCAACATTTTTTTTGAAAAACAGAGAACACGTCAGCTTTAGAACGAAGAAAATAGATCCAAGTAAATCGACTATAATCATCGATAAACGTCACAAAATAACGATACTGACCATGAGAAATAATAGGACTGACACCCCAAACATTAGTATGCACAATCTCAAAGCAAGTAGTAGCACGATTACCATGCGCAGGAAAAGGTAACGTTTTACTTTTACCAAGACGACAAGTATCACAATCAAAAGATACAGAAGATGAAAAAAATGAATCTTTATTGCCCAAAAACCATGTTTCAAAAGATGAGTTAAGACAACAGAATCAGGATGACCCAATTTCTTATGCCATACTTTGTTATTATTGGCAGTAGTTGTACAAGTAAAAGAAACAACATTAGGAATAGAAAACCAAAGGAAATAGACGTCCCACTTGAGGCCCCTTCGCGATCACTGTCCCCGACACCTGATCCTGCACAAGACAACCACCACGAGAGAAATGAACAACACAGTTATTATCCACCAATTGTCCAACAGAAATCAAATTGGTAGATAATACAGGAGAGACAAAAACATTTCGAAATGAAGAACCTAAAGTACCAACATCAGTAATAGGAAGTGTACTGCCATCAGCAATCTGAATAGTTTGTGTGCCTCTATAATTACGAACACCATGGATACCCGTCGTACTACAAGTTATATGATTAGAGGCACCCGAATCAACAATCCAAGAAGAAGTGGAGGTAGGATCAGTAACTTGTAGGCCTAAAGCTGTAAAAGCAGATATAATCATTTGTTGGACCATGGCGGTGTGAGAACAGATGACTCAGAGCTTACAGTGGGGGGCGCAGAAGAAGACGGGGGTTGAACAACAGCTTGAAAGGCTTAGGATTGGTGATTATGAGGCCGCACGCAATAGTCTTTGATCAGATGACCCTTTTTCTTGCTGTAGTTACAAACTTTCTTCGGACAATTACGAACAATGTGACCGAACTCCTTGCAACTGAAAACTGCAACTTGTTCCTCCCTCTCCCTTGTGCTGCATAGGCTACTACATTCACAGCCTCAGAAAAGACCTTCTAAGAAGTCATACCCATCTGAGTGGATAACCGTTGTTCTTCACGTAATAAATCTCCCAAGCAAATATCCAAGGAACCGGATTACGGTTTAATAAACCGGCTCGAACAGGCTCAAATTCAGGTCGAAGCTTCATAAAAAACTGATCACGTTGACTCTCAGCATGAACCGCTTGAAGAGCCGCGAATGTCGTGGTGGAAACCTTAGCATGAACAATAGCAGAATACTCGCTCCAAAGATTAATAAAACCAGAATAAAATTGCTCAATAGTCAAATTACCTTGAGTGTAATTGCTAATTTCCAATTCCAATTGGAATTTTCGAGCGCTGTAGTCTTGGTGATAAATACGATACAGGCAGTCCCACATAGCTTGAGCCGTAGTAAAGCACCGACGATTAGTGACAAGATAGAGCTCAATCGTGCCCAATAGCCAAGAGATCACCTTAGCATCCTTGACCTCCCATTGGGCAAATTCTTTTTCATCAGTGGGAACTCGGACAGAACTATTAATATGATTTGATAATTCTTTCCCTTT